AACCAAAGGACGTGTTTACTGAGCAGCAGTTCGTTCCGTCCTACTTTATGGCAGTGAAACATGGCTGGTAAGAGCAGAGGATATTCGTAAGTTACTAGTATTCGACCATAGATGTCTTCGAAACATTACTCGTATATCCTGGGACCATCGAGTAAGTAACGCAGTTGTTAGGAAACGGGTACTAGGTAAGGATGGCAAATCAATTGATGAAGTAGTGAAACTTGATCATTTGAGATGGCTGAGACACGTGTTACGTATGCCCAACGACCGACTGCCCCGATGTGCGATGCTTTCTGATGGAGTAGGTTGGAAGAAAGCTAGGGGCAGCCAAACCAAAACATGGCACAAATCCATGAAGTCACTGACAAGTGAACTGAGCTATGTTGGTAGGTGTAGACTACCTGGTTGGGGACCGCGAGATGATAGCAACCGATGGTTAGAGACCCTGAATGACATGGCTCAAAATCGTTTGCAATGGCATAGGTGCATCCACTCTTTGTGTTCTCCCAAATTCTAATCTTCTGAATTCTTCATGTCCCTTTTTTCCTCTTTCCAAATTTCTTTCACTGTATTATACTCTTTAAATAACATCTCCAAACCCTAATCTTCCCGATTACTGCTTATACTCTTATTACCTCTACCACTACGGGATTTGAATGGACAAGTGCATCTCCGTGCTAATGTGGTGTAACAACTCAAACTGATGTACGTACGTACGATTATTTATTTATTATTATTTTAGCACATAGATATTGGTACAAGGAGGCACCAAATACATATGCGCCACACAGATTTTGTTTGATATGTGTGAGGGCTGTGATACTGACCGGGTGCCCAAATCGAAGCAGGTGGTGTTCTTAGAGCCTTCGACCTGAAGGTCTGATCCACAAGGCAGTGGAGAAACGTCAGATGATGCAGTCCCATGGTAGCCGGTGATCAATAGTTGGTTCATACGCCATTTGTTCCATCAGGATCCTGTAGCCCATGTGTATCATTGGTTCGGAATCAGGGTTTTCAAACTCCCCTAGGTGAACTCTCCATGTCCACCAACCCGGTTAAAGCGCCGGACATTCGCTTCTCGTCCTTCCAACTTGGTAAACAACAGTAATGCCACGAGAAGACAGAGAGTAGGACTTCCCTGGCAATGGCTGTATACGTGTGGTCGTGTGAGAGCATTGCGAGGACTCTCCCCACTCTCGGCTGTACCAGGGCATTTGGGGGCACGTACGTTGTTACTGACTGACTTAATTCTTCATTTTACTTTTAAAGTTCCCTGTGTTTAGTATCATCTATCCAACCTTACTTACTATGCTTACATGTATTTGACCACTTTTAATGTTATTTCTCATTTTTATTTGAAGTTGACTTACGTCGCTTTATTTCAATATATGAATTGCGTTTAATTAGGTACTCAGGTTCTTTAGCTGTAGATGTGCTATTTGCTTTCACCATTGATCATTATTGCTTGTTCTGGACTACTTTAGAATGTCATTGGATATTCGGGGAACTTCATGGATGTATAGTAGCTTTTATACGAAATCAATTCAATACAATGACGAGTTACAGAAGACATTTCCTCTTCAAAAAAACCTATGATTATTCTTAGAAGCCTCATATATACACAATAATCTCATTAAACAAAACGAAAGGTTAGGAACACTTTTCAGAAACGCAGATATTTATAGCTTGACATAATTATTAGGATGACAGACATAAATCTTGAAAAAAAAAACATTTAGCTACATTTTATAAGACAGAAAATTAATATGTAGACATGTTTCCAGTACAAAACAAACATATCAAATGTGAATACGCTTATTGACTAACGCAGTTATACAAGCAGTAAGCACATAGATATTAAAACTAGCATTTGATAAGTCAAGGGAAAAAATAGTCAACAGACAGGGAAAAACAAAGCAGAATCTATATTAAAAATATGTATCGGTTCGATTTGTCACTTTTTGTTAACAAAACGAGGAAATCAACAAGAGGATAATCTCTAGTAGCAGAGAATGGTTGAAAAGGAAGTAAGATTTTCTTAAAAATCGATCCTGCGAAATTGTCAAAAATATGGGGAAATATTGTACTGACAACTTTTAAGATACAGGGAACGAATGTATATGACCTACTATTGTGAATGGCTTTTGACCTCTTTCCTTTATTAATCGATCAACGTTATGTTAAGGGTATCAAGTGGAATATATTCACCTCCCCTCACAGCTAAATAACTATTGACTTCATATCCTGATGGATCTTATTCTTCATCACGTCTACGCTAACCAGAATAGCATGTCTACGTTTTGCTTACAAACAGCGATCGGAATAAATTGAGTAGAATCACTTCAAGCTCCCGAATTTCAGTGAATATCCCAGTCAATTTGAATAATAACCCTAGATCTTCAATCTTAAATATTACTATAATTTATGCACCAAAGCTACAATCTGATCTCAACCTTTAGATTAGGTTATTTGTGAATAATAGGGAAGCAAAATGTGGTTAATGTTCAGATAAACTACTCTTTAATGTGTTCTCATGAGCACTTCAGTTGGTTGGTTTAGGAATGAATTACTGATCCATCTTTCTTAACGGTTTCACCTAATGTTTACATTTTAGACCGAAATAAAATAACTATTCTTGGTTCTTTGTATTGCTTTCGCTTTTACTACTCAACATTATCGAGGCTTACTGGGATGAGTTTGCAAGTATTCTGAAGCTATCTGTTAGCGGGACATAGACTAGACTAAAGCATGCTCAATGCATGATTGCTTTGGTGCACGCTGATTGGCTAATTCTTATCCAATCAGCGCTAGTCGATAGTTGGAGAATATTCTGGATTCTTCTTATGTAAAAACTATAAATATACCGACGTTTTTCCCTATTGTGCTTCCTACTGGCTTCTGACTTCCATCTAACCTTGTTATTTGGAATATAATCTCTTCCTGTTCAACCGTGTTTTGATTTGGGGACTTGTCGAGTGAATCGGTGTCCGAGAATACTAAGCAATAGGAATAGCCGGGTCATTAACCGTAAGAAGAAACAGAGTTATAACAGTGGCAACGGGAAAAAACTAAAGAAAAATGGCGATTTCTTTAGAACAGTTGCGGTTAATATTACAGCACCAGCAGAAGTTGTTAGCCTTGCAACAACAACTATTCAACACACTTTTCACTCGACCAGAAATAAGAAATCTGTTTATGATGCAGTAACAGACATTTCAGAAGCATATCTAGTGGAGGGTTCAAATCCCTTTATACCTGAATCACAACGTAATATTTGTAACGTGTCCGGCTCACAGCAAGAAAATACTGTGCTGAATGCACATGAGGTTGTGACAATACCAGATGATCAGGAGCCAGGTCCTGTAGATGAAGCCCGGAGTCCAGAATCAAATGAAACACTACTGGTACTGTCTAGCTGCGAAAATAAACGTCAGCTCGAACAAAATTGTGGTCCACGTGCTATTAGTCGAGAAAGCTATGGTGACTCGTATTCAGAAAATAACTGGAGCAACACGATGAACCAAATTGTACCAGATGTTACTCAAAATCACCGGAAGACAGAATTTTATATTCAGTCAACTTATCCCATTTCTAATGACAGTGTACCAGATATTGATTCTCAGAATAATGCATATGATTTTGATGAACCTTCTTATAACAATGAGGGAAATATGTCAGCTGAGTCGAATGATGGCCAAAAATCTAATCTAATTCTGTTAGACGTTGACTTTCTTAATGACTCGTTATCTGCTAACGAGATTCATAATGAATTTGAAAATAATGAACTCAGATCAAAGGTTGTTCATCATCATCTAGTCATTTTTAGTGGATTCTCCAGTCAATACGAGAAACATGGTTTAAATAAAGTCCTACTAGTTATAATTTGGAGCCATAAGGACCCAACATTATTTCGAGGAGGAGGAGAATGTTGGAGAATTAAAAGTTATGCATACTTTTTTTTTAAGAAAAATCAAAACGCCGGGAACAGACATGTCAGTCTCTGTGCAAGGAAAAAGTGATAATTCTTCATTGCCTAGACGATAGACTAATCGAAAGCACAAGCTATTCACTCAGTTGCAGTTGGACCCTAGCACCAGATCCTACGAATCTGCTCAGAGGGGAGGTGTTAGCGGGACATAGACTAGACTAAAGCATGCTCAATGCATGATTGCTTTGGTGCACGCTGATTGGCTAATTCTTATCCAATCAGCGCTAGTCGATAGTTGGAGAATATTCTGGATTCTTCTTATGTAAAAACTATAAATATACCGACGTTTTTCCCTATTGTGCTTCCTACTGGCTTCTGACTTCCATCTAACCTTGTTATTTGGAATATAATCTCTTCCTGTTCAACCGTGTTTTGATTTGGGGACTTGTCGAGTGAATCGGTGTCCGAGAATACTAAGCAATAGGAATAGCCGGGTCATAACCGTAAGAAAAGCGATATATAACACTATCAAAATTTAACCTCTTCTGGTTTTTAGCTAAAAGTTGTTACTAAGGTTTTTACGACAAACTAGAAAAGATGGCAAGATACTTCATGATGCAAGTTTCTCTACAAATTTAGCAAGTGCTACACTATTTATTCTTTTCAATATAACCCAAATATGATTTTTCTGCCTAGTAAGGCGAAGGATGTGCTTTTACGGGAGCATGATGGGTTTTCAAATATGAACCCTAGAAGAGACGTTAAAGTCCTACTGATATCTTCCGACGATGGTGTGTCAATATTTGGGCATCGTAGATACCATTTCAGGATCTAAGGGAAGACAAAGAAAGGATGCACTTGGATCATTGTGAACAATCTTAAGCCATGCCATCCAAAGTTTCCAACTAATGGTGATGATAATCACCCGAACCACAACCAGGTAGTCTGCACCTGCCCATATGGCTCAGTTCAATAGCAATGCCAACTAAAACACATGAACAAGCATTTGAAAAGTTGCTAAATATTTTGCGAGAAACTAAATTTTTAATATGTAAAACAATATCCCCATTACCTGGCCAAAGTATGTACTCGCTCTGTATTACGTTGCATAGGTGTAATACGATTACGCAGAAGAGTAACGGCAGGCATTACTTCATTGGCTTCCAAATTTTCCAGAAACTGTTGTTCTAATATCAAAAATCGGACTTCTTCAACACTATTTAGATCCCCTATCATGGGTGCTAACTTGTCTATTGCGGCTTCAGCCTATTTAAATGATAAAGGGATAATTGGTGTAAAAGAATTTTTTCGTACAGCTGCTTTTTTATAAGTCGAAATAATAACCAAACAGAAAAAAGCTGTGCCTTGCTCTTTTATTACCACTAATCACTTTAAACTAAAGATAACACTCGGCTACATAAATATTGGTAGTTAACTTTGGAAACTAATGAAGGGCTGTTTACAACACAATTTAACACTGCCGTGAATCTCTGCAATTAAGTTAATGAAGATTTCCCTACGACTATTCATCAATCCAGATAATTAGTTTGCTAGAATAAAACGAAAGCTCCTGAGTCAGCATTAAAAAACATCTGAAAATGTACAGAAACTTTGAGCCGAACTTGGTGATGAGTGTTACTGAAGGTCTCCGTAAGAGATGAAGATGGTCAGTGCAATGCTTTGTTGTCTTATACATCCAAAGGAAATAGTTTCCCACACACAAAATAACTACACTTACTTAACCTCGAATTTCCCGAGAATATAGCTTGATTTATTGAATGATATCCATATTTATATCGATTAAAAACAAGTTTAAAATCATTGGCTTTAAAATCAACAGGACTCGTCTAATTTTTTCGGCATTACGAGTGTAGCTAGTAAGATCAGTGTGATTGAGATGTTAGGTTTGATTAGATTCACAACCAAACAGAACTGTTTCTGAACTGAAATGCTCATTATGAATACAATTATAGAAGTGAGAAATACAAGTGGCGTCACAAAATTTATACGTAAGTATCATGATTGTAATTAAAGGAAAAAATCTGTTGATAATTGCTAGATTTAATTTATGAGTATTAATGCGTTGTTCTAGAAAAATGTGGTGGTTACAAGCATCCCAAAGCCTAATTATCCGATGTTCTATTAATGGTTCTCTAAATTCCCTTACAACAGATACTAAGTAGTCTTAATCACCAGGATATGGTGTAACAATTGTATTAAAGTACATGATCTAACTAGACGAAGTTTAATTAAGACACAAAGTTGTAACTTTCTCCAGAAACCCAACTAAAATATGCGAACGTGCTAAAGCTGTTGTCAGTGATTTTACATGTACATTAGTAGCATTCATTGCATAGAATACTGTGGGGATCACAACGATTAAAAACGCAACTTTCGAATTAATACTCTGACTCTCCTAGATTATTATCCTTCCCAACTTGATCTCTCTCATCTCATGCTATTCTTAGATTGAAATACAAAAGATAATGTATGAAATGCACAGTCAGTAAAGGGGAGTCTACTGAAAAATACACTTTTCCAAAGTAGAATTGACGATAAAATGCATCTGAAGTTTTCCATCTTATACCTACTGATCGCATCAAGTAGTTGTCTAAGGTTCGTACCAAATTTATTGTTGGGGTTACAAATAATCAAACCACTACTAATCTAAGTGGGAAAATAGAACGATGATAAACCGGTTATATTCCCAGTTTAATACAAGTAACTTGACTAATTGGGTTTCACCATTTATAAAAAATATCAAGCTAACAGAACAAAAGCCGAGTTTTGTAGGGAAACCGCGGGAGAATGACTTACATCAAGCCATCTACCTTCCAAAATAGCATGACGCAACTCTGTTGCATCATTGTGTTCCAAGGTGATCCCAGACTCTCTGGAAAGCTGTGTATATGTGCCACTGAAGTGTGTTAACATATAATAATATCATACTTAAATCCCTTGTCACAAAGATATTGGCCTATAAGGCGTAGCATTTCCTCATCACGAACTGAAAGACTCCTTGATCTAGCAATAATGAGGTCGTTTTTAATTGCAGCAACGCCATTGAACTGGCCATATAGAATATCACCGTTTTGCTCCAGCATAACTTCAACCTATGGTGGACTACGGTGAGCCCTACTAATGAAATAGGATATAAGATATGCAGGCAAACTGTCGGTCAACAGCTGATCCGCAGTTCCTTTGTTAGTTTAAACGAGTGTCGAGTGTTCAATACCTAATTTCATTTGAAATTAGTTTAGCACAGATTCAGATTTGTGTAGTAAGGACAGAAGGTCTACGGCCTATGTTATTCTTTTTCTAGTATGCTTCTGTGAGTGTCAAGTCTTCTCTCGAGAGAGTCAATTGAGGGTGCGGACACCACTGCTTCGGGCAGCAGGTCCCAGGTATTGATGACTCGGTGTGAAAACCTGTATGCAACGGGTAGTTTGTTCATTGTTGGCTTTTCTACTCGCCTGCTATGTCCTTTGAGAATTTCCGATATAGTAGGAAGAAAAAGAGGGAACAAGTTAGGTCCGAAACCATTTCTCAGTATTCTGTAAATCAAAATTAGATCTCCCCTTAATCTGCGGTAGGACAGATTAAAGAGGTCCAGCTTTTCAAGCTGCTCTCTGCATGGTAAACCTTGAAGTTCTGGAAATCCCCTCTGTATTTTTTCTAGGATATCCGAGTCACCTTTTAAACAGGGGCTTGCAGCCTGAACCCGGTTCTCAAGCTTAGTTTTCACTAAGGATGTGTATACTGTGGTGAACATGGTAGTATCTAACTTAACGAAGTCCGTTTTACAGCCCAGAGGGTTCGAAAACCTCAGCTGCGATCTTCCGGCAATGGGCCGTCGTCTTAAGATTATGATTCACTGTCACCCCTAGATCCTTATGAGACCGGACCACAGGGAATAGCATTACCCCTATGTTGTACCTATTAACCTCCGAATCCCCAAAGTGCATTTAGACACACTTTGCCGTGTTTGTAGGCATCAGCCACTCCTCAGACCAGCTAATCATTTTATTTAAGTCTACCTGAAGAGCAAATGCGTCTGTGTCTCCAGTTACTTCTCGCGAGATTTTTAAATCGTCAGCGTATAATAACATTGGAGACTGTACTATACTTGGAAGACCATTAACATACATTATAAAAAGTAAAGGACCTAGGACGGAACCTTGAGGTACCACACTAGGTACTGGTCTCCAGGTGGAGCACTTGGAATTTATTCTCACTTTCTGTCTACGACCTACCAGGAAATCCTTAATCGATTTTAAGAGAGGTCCGGCAATACCAAGATTTTCCAACTTCAATAGCAGTCTATTAGTTGGCACCTTGTCAAAAGCCTTACTGAAATCTATGCAGACAACATCCACTGAGTTTCCGTTGTCTGGCGCATTAATCCAGAACTCCCTAGCTATAAGGAGGTTCGTTGTACAGGATAGACCCTTCCTAAAACCATGTTGTGCCATGTTCAGCAAGTTATTGGTTTCCATAAATGCCGTTATGGTCCGTTTGATTATTCTTTCCAGTATTTTAATTACAACACCGGTGAGGCTTACGGGTCTGTAATTCGATGGAACTTGTTGTGGACCTGTTTTATGTATGGGAGTGACGACTGCATCCTTCCAGACCATAGGTAACACACCTTGGTCAAGTGACATATTCAATATCACAGTCAGTGGGGCCGCGATATATTTGGCAATATGTCTCAAGATTTTAGGGTGTAGTTCATCTGGTCCTGTTGACTTCTCCATGTTTAGGGTGCTAAGAGCCTTAAGCACATCGTTTTGGTCGAAGTCCACGGTGAGCAGCTGGTTTGTTGACTCTGTAATTGGGTCTGGTTCTTTCGCTAGAGGAGGTTCCTGAGTGAAAACTGCCCCAAAGTAGTCAGCCATAACCTCAGCTTTTTCCTGATCTTCCTCTATCATTTCCGATTCACTTCCTACTTTAATTAGGTTGGGAATCCAATGATGAATCCTTGTTCTGTAGTTTATGTACGAGAATATCCTCTTGGGCTGCTTGAGTGCAGATTGTGTCAACTGCATTTCATATTTTCTTTGAGCTTCTGGAATTTTTGTTATACACTTGTTTCTTACCGATTTGTAGCGTTAAATCGTACCTGCTGTACCAAGGCGGATGGCAAAATCTCAACATTTCTTTTTTTGTCTTAGTAAACGTCGAATATCCTGGCCTATCCAGGGATGTCCGTGCTTCTTTTTCTTTGGGACTGTCCAGGGTATATATGGTTACCCGATTTTATAACTGCCTGAAATAAGTACATGCCTCTCTTACTGACATCCTTGAGTCAATTTCTCAGTTTTCAGCCGGTGCCTTTGAGTCGATTGCCTCCATATCTGCCTTCCATATATTAGGACGGGCCGGCGCAACTTTTCGACATGCAATCTCAGCCATCAATTTGAATAAGATAACTGCATGGTCACTTCTTCCTAGTAGTGGGAGGAAAGTTATTTGACCAAAGTTATCACCGTATGTGAAGACTAAATCTAAAAGCGAAGAAGAGTTTTTAAGTCATATCTTGTGGGATTTATAATGTGTTGGAATAAAGCTAATCCAATCGAGGTTTCTAACAGTTTGCGATCGAACGATGTTATCGATGACCCTACTTCTAAGTTAACCCAGTTTATATACAGTGCATTAAAGTCGCCTACTACAAGGCTTTTACCCTTGTTACACCAGGACTTAAGTTTACTTAGGAGAAAATCATTCGCTACACATTCTGGACTGCGATATACTACAACTAAGTCAATATCTTTCCGTCTACATTTCAGCTTATATCGCACCAGTTCACATGTCCCCGAAACATGCGCCACTGTCACAGTTACTCCCATGGTTAGGGTACTTTTTGCTTATGGGATAAGCCTGCCTCCCCTACGGTTTAATCTATCAGGCCTACTTGTTATAAAACCACTCAAACGAATTTCATTATCTAACACTTCTGATGTTAGCCAAGTTTCTGAGACAGCAAAAACATCCGGTTTTTTATCCACCATTGGCTTGAGCTCCGCCATTTTATTTAGTAGGCTGCAAGCATTTTTGTAGCACCTACTGTAAAAATAAATATTAAAAATTATGTGCTCCTTAAGCTAATACAAACTAATCTTGAGACATGATTCAAGTAACCCCACAATTTATGAAGAGGAGATAATGTGGGTTTGTGTAATCCTAGTTACATTCTAGTATGGATGAAAGATATAAGGGCTTGAGTTTGTACTGATAATAAATTTCGCATACATCGAATATTGTTATGAATAGCTCTGTGTAAGAGACTGTCACCGTGTATTTAGCCTGAGTTTCACTCAGACATCTTGATATTGTCAGTAGTCAGATCGCACACTGATCTCGAATTCGTGAACATTTCATATACTCTAGTAAGTTTTTCGTTGCAAAGTTTATGAAAGATAAATGGCTGCCTATTAGTTACGTGTTTGTAATCAAATCATTTATGGGTTTACTAAAAGACTCCATCTGCCGAGATGTAGTTCCAAAGGAACAGACAGTTTGTAGTGGAAAAGTAAGTCTCGGAAATAAACAATAAAAAAGTCTCTGATATGGATACAGAACTCGCTAGTTTTATTTTACACATTCTACCTGAAGGCTCTAGGTCCAGTACTGGTACACAAAACGATAAGTCGTTAGTCAGTACCTCGTTGCAGCATTCTACATATATTTTTGCATATTAAGGTATTCTTTTTGTGTTCCCTCGCATATAAACATGTCGAAGCTTAGTCCTGCTTTGAAGACATTGACTCTAACAGACGCAGCGTGATAGACCTACGTGTACAGTTCCTCGCAGGAGTGAAGGCGATGCCGCGCCAGTTCAAAAGGTACCTTACACCTAGTATGTTTATTATTGATGTTTATGAACCTCACGACATTATGTAAAGTCCACTCTCAAACATAGAATTGTAATGGAAGTGCAACACGGTTCAACAACAGACATTTCGCCATGTATAGGGAGAGTCACTGGTAGAATAACTTTCGACGGGGGCCTCTTAAGATGGACGGTCTATACTTTAAGCCAATATTCCATGAGTATCCCGAACTATACAAAGTACAACCGTAACTACCGTGTGTAGCCTGCAATGTTACATATCACAATACGACTACTGAACCACCCATATTTCCAAAGGCGCTCGAACTACCTCACGAAAAGTCGAGATCGGTTGATAACAAGTTCGATCACCTGGTAAATATGGGAATAACATAGCGAACAAACAGCTCATAGGCACCTTTGTTGTATATGGTCACTAAAATGGATGGTATTAATTAGTGTCCAACTGGTGACTACCAGAGACTTATTGCGTAGACCACTCCAGTTCGCTCTTTATTGCTGCACACCAACGAGCTGAGAGTTAACTTGAAAGGTAGGACTATCTCTTCCAAAACCGACCTATTTAAAGAGTGTAACTAAATTCGTAATTCTGCTAACGACAGTCAAAGACGAATGCTACCACTCCCTTTGAACTCTACCAGAATTTGAGTATGGCTTTCAGTTCAAGAAAAACTGCTTAAAGTTTCCAATGATTCATTGACATTGGATTTAAGGATTTGGAAATTATGCTCTCATATTTTCATGACGTTTACCTGAGAATCTAATAGCCAGCACCTGGACCTTGTTATACAACGAATCACAAAACGTGACATTACAGGTATTTAGAAATGTTAGATTGGAAGCGGCTCCGTCGATTTTCTCGGGCATATTTTTGATTCCAAAATTATTCGCCCTCCAGAAGATAAAACGGCGACCATTCTAATCTTTTCAGAACTGACAGTAGCAAGGTAAATGCGCACGCTTAATGGACTAGTACGTTTCTACAGATGGTTCTTACAAAAACTCACATTCTCATGAGACTTTTAACAGGCCAAATTTGCGAAAATACAAAAATCAGCAACTTGGATGAAAACACGAAGAATTGACTCTCCACAGTGAAAAAGGGTATCGGTAAGTCAGCTATACTGGCACACCTCAACACCAAAGCAACCATTAGTTTCACTATAGAATCATCCTCTTCAGAAATTGATGGAGTCTGACAACTTTGGGTTGACGAAACTCGGAACTCACGATGTTCTTCCAGAGACGGTAACAAGACACTCAGTCGAGGTATAGCACTTTCGACGGGGAACTCCAAGCCACATTTCGTGCTGAGAGGCACTCCCGGCACTCCGTAGAAGACCGAGGATTCATTCTGTTTAT